AAGTGACTGCTCCTGAGCAGGAAACAGAAAGCCTTCTGTTTCACTTTTCAGGCCAGCCGACTTCATCCAAGTGAAGTACTCTTCAGGGTTGCTTAACTTATCAACACACTGCACATAAACTCGATGCAGTGGTCGTTCAGATAACCTCTCCTTGAGTCTGGGCCGATCTGATATGGCACTTGCTCACAATATAGTCGGAATCGTACAGTCGCTTTGGGCAGTCAATCCTTATGCATGACGTAGGGCGTCTTTTGGGTGACGTAGCTTGTCTTTTGGGTGTACTACTTAATTGGGGGAATTAGTCGGTAGCAGTGGTCACGACTGGCGATCACCTTGAAGGACAGAGAAGGCTGTTGAGTTGGTGGCGTTTATTGGTGGAAGCAGAGTGACGTTTACACAGAAGTACATTTAATTGTAATGGCACGATAATATATATAAGAGGTTGAGTCACATTCATCTAATTGCATACATGTAATTATAACAATTCAATACGTGTACAACACGTACGATCATAATAATACAATCGGCATACAACCGGTAATAACATGACTGTAAAGATGTACAATATATTTGTGTAACGGATGGTTATTAAAAGGCATTAATTACGCGAAAATATGTCTGGTAGAAAACAGTAGAAAAACAGTCATGCGTGGATATTCTGTTATAAGAGACAACATAAATACATGTTGGCCGACTCAGTTTTCAATGTTACTAAGTTGCAGGCAAATCATTGCTATGAGTATGTGTCACTGAATGTAGGAACGTACAAGTTATTGACATTGGTACACATACTCATATTGGGATGTTGCCGTGCAACTAGTATACTAATATACTAATATACTAATATACTAATATATGTTCGCGAGAGGAAGTATTGTCTGGATATTAAGTCAATGATAATTTTCACAACGCTACGATATAGTCGAAATAGATCTAACCTACATCTAACGTATTAAGATCGTAGCTGACAATATAAGTTAACAGTTAAGTAAATAGTGACTTACCTTGAAGGACAGAGAAGGCTGTTGAGTTGGTGGCGTTTATTGGTGGAAGCAGAGTGAAGTTTGCTACCACCGACCGCCGTATATATACAACTCAGGCCTTCATTACGTTACATAACTAAAGATCACAACATCCCAGGTGTCAGCGGTTGATCGGCTGTACAATGGGTGGGTGTGTCATTATTTACGGATTTATTCAAGTAGGTTGTTGTATTGCCTAACTGACCCTTACATCACTGTCGGACTGACCATGTGTGCCGGCCCTGTGACGTGAAGTTACCTCACTAATCACTGGTTCTCAGAGAGAGTGACCCTTTGTGTCAGCCTGGCTGGACAGACTTGCATAATGAGCCACTGTCTCAAGGCTGGAGTGACCGTGAGTTTAGCCGCATATGTGAAACATAAAATATCTTGTATGCGGCGGTCAGTTAGTGCATTCGCTATACTGAATTTACTTTAAGAATAGTCAGATTAGTTTACCGATATAGGTTGATTGATATATATTTTCTAATAGGAATTTGGTGTTAGAAGAAAGCTATGACAATACCCCTCTGCGACAGGAAGCTTTTGTCCTCAAAAGCAAAAAATAGAATTGACATACAGACATGGTGATACAATGCAAAAAAACAATAGATGTGATACAGGCGTGGTAATACAATTAAAAAAAACAATAGATGTGTTATAGACATGGTAATACAATGCAAAAAACAATATATGACATTACACTTATGTTCATCAAAACGAATGTTAGGATACGTCTGTCTCCTTAGAAGTGACAATGGACATTGGCAAGGATACGTCGTAAAAGATATGGTAAAGTATAGACACAATTGGTAAGAATGGATATACAGATAATAATTATTCAAGACAACTTTGACACTGGGGTGGTAGGAAGTAATAATACGTTATGGTAAGATTTGGGTACAGCGCCTTATTTGGTTTTATCGTATCATCATCCAAAGCCTTAATATATCCTCCATGAATTAACAGGATATAGGTGTTGACAGGTTGGTTAAGCATATTTCGCAGTTTCTTGGCAGTAAAAATATTTAAACGAATTTCATTTAGTAGATAAAGGAAGGTGTCCGTAAGGTTGTTTTTGATGCAGAAGTTGGGCCATTCCAGAGAAAGACTAGGAAAGAAGTAATCGGTGACTCTGAGATTGTGAATATAAGTAGGGGGGTTGATGGTCCAGTAAGATGGACATAGCGAAAGAGCAATAATAGGGATGATAATACATTGCAAAAAAGACATAACATTTGATTAAAGTTCATCAACGATAATGGTCATAATCATTTCTGGTACAAAATGGATTATCATCATTATTATGTGTTATTATTAATAGTTTTTGTTGTTGCGATGTTCAAGACAGATATGAAAAAAACATAAAAACCGAATAGTTGGGCAAGAGCACTTGGTGATGAGGAAGTTTGGAAACAAGGGCTTGTGTGGCCCTACGAAATTCGAAGCATACCTACGATAGAGATGGCAATGCTGTAAAGAAAATTAGGGTAAGAAAGTGAAGCAATGATGGGATCAGTATCATTGAGTTACCTTGGTTAACCCTTCATTTCACCACAATGTTGACATCATTCTCACGTAGATATATTGGTTGGACATGGAAGTTTATGATTTACGAAAATGTTATGGTTACGTTTTCTACCTGTCTGGGTGATGAGGTTACGATTGGCTTGATCGTGGCAGTTCGGTTGGCTGAGGTCCTTGCGAGAAGGTTGACCTGGTGACATCAGAGCATTTTGGGACCTGTGCGACATCATCCGATATGGATATTAGAAGATCACGGCCCTGCTCAGGAGTCGATTGTTGGAACTACTGAGGTGACTGGTGCCTGACTTGTTTTGAGGCGTTTGGTTTGACTGGTGCCTGACTTGTTTTGAGGCGTTTGATTTGACTGGTGCCTGACTTGTTTTGAGGCGTTTGGTTTGACTGGTGCCTGACTTGTTTTGAGGCTTTTGGTTTGACTGGTGCCTGACTTGTTTTGAGGCGATTGGTTTGTTTGTCACCTGACTTTTGCAGCTCTTCTCTGTGATTCTTCGGTGTTCTGCCAGTCGTTGACCTGGTCCAAGAAAGGATCCTCTCACCAGTTGACGTAGGGCGTCTTTTGGGTGACGTAGCTTGTCTTTTGGGTGTACTACTTAATTGGGGGAATTAGTCGGTAGCAGCGGTCACGACTGGCGATCACCTTGAAGGACAGAGAAGGCTGTTGAGTTGGTGGCGTTTATTGGTGGAAGCAGAGTGACGTTTACACAGAAGTACATTTAATTGTAATGGCACGATAATATATATAAGAGGTTGAGTCACATTCATCTAATTGCATACATGTAATTATAACAATTCAATACGTGTACAACACGTACGATCATAATAATACAATCGGCATACAACCGGTAATAACATGACTGTAAAGATGTACAATATATTTGTGTAACGGATGGTTATTAAAAGGCATTAATTACGCGAAAATATGTCTGGTAGAAAACAGTAGAAAAACAGTCATGCGTGGATATTCTGTTATAAGAGACAACATAAATACATGTTGGCCGACTCAGTTTTCAATGTTACTAAGTTGCAGGCAAATCATTGCTATGAGTATGTGTCACTGAATGTAGGAACGTACAAGTTATTGACATTGGTACACATACTCATATTGGGATGTTGCCGTGCAACTAGTATACTAATATACTAATATACTAATATACTAATATACTAATATACTAATATATGTTCGCGAGAGGAAGTATTGTCTGGATATTAAGTCAATGATAATTTTCACAACGCTACGATATAGTCGAAATAGATCTAACCTACATCTAACGTATTAAGATCGTAGCTGACAATATAAGTTAACAGTTAAGTAAATAGTGACTTACCTTGAAGGACAGAGAAGGCTGTTGAGTTGGTGGCGTTTATTGGTGGAAGCAGAGTGAAGTTTGCTACCACCGACCGCCGTATATATACAACTCAGGCCTTCATTACGTTACATAACTAAAGATCACAACATCCCAGGTGTCAGCGGTTGATCGGCTGTACAATGGGTGGGTGTGTCATTATTTACGGATTTATTCAAGTAGGTTGTTGTATTGCCTAACTGACCCTTACATCACTGTCGGACTGACCATGTGTGCCGGCCCTGTGACGTGAAGTTACCTCACTAATCACTGGTTCTCAGAGAGAGTGACCCTTTGTGTCAGCCTGGCTGGACAGACTTGCATAATGAGCCACTGTCTCAAGGCTGGAGTGACCGTGAGTTTAGCCGCATATGTGAAACATAAAATATCTTGTATGCGGCGGTCAGTTAGTGCATTCGCTATACTGAATTTACTTTAAGAATAGTCAGATTAGTTTACCGATATAGGTTGATTGATATATATTTTCTAATAGGAATTTGGTGTTAGAAGAAAGCTATGACATGCATATGGTAAAGGTTTTTGTGGCTTATATTTAGAAATCAGAAAAACAAACAAAATAAAATGCAATTTTGTATAGTATAAGGTTATCAAACATCAGTTAGTTCCCCGTAATAGCTTAATGTGCAATATACACTTGGTGAACATTTTATTTTATCACAATATAACATTTGTTCTACTAAACTATGTTAAAGGTATTTGGTTGCATAAGAAGTGGAACGAAAATACTTTTTGAAGCAACTTTTACTATTTCAGCCCACAACCTTATTAGAATTGTTCTTGCGGGTGTCAACATAAGAAGTTCAAGTGTGTTTCAACATAAGAATTCCAAGTGTGTGTCGACATAAGAATTTCAAGTGTAATATAAGATGTTATTCAACTCGCCCAAGAAGCTTACCCATACACATTATCACAGATATTTGAAGGTAATTCGACTTGACCACTTACTCGCCTATTTAAGTCGCAACCTATGCTTTCCAGTATCTGGTGATTTGTAGTGCTTGAATGAATAAGTGGCACAATAAAACTATATACTAGAACAATAATTTACTAGAACAGAATATGATAATACCTTCTTTTGAAAACTTTGGGTGGTGGAGTCCATCTGTTGCCCAGCTATAACGGCTACCGTGGAAGACGACGGCTGCTACCACAAAGGCCACGACGAGCACTATCAGCGATCGAACTTTCAAGGACGCCATGTTGCCACTGAGAGCCTGACGGACCCCTGCCTTATATAGTCAATTCCCGTTAATCCTACATGGTTGGTTGCATATGATTATGTCGGATTAACGAGTATAACGGATAAACGAAATAAGTAGTATTAACTTTCGTGATCGAAAATTGGACAACTACACGATAGATGACGATACAAACACGTAATAAAAAATGAAAAATGAAATATTCATATTGTTGTGTTACATTGTTAACGGAATTTGTTTTCTAATCATGCAACCTCTAAAGCTTAACACAAAACAACTGTTACGGACTGTATGGCATATTCAATATACTTTAAAAAGCATAGTCTGGAATGGAAGTCGGAAGTTTGAAACTGGTACCGCCACACTCCTGAAATTCCTATGTTGACACACACTTGAAATTCTTATGTTGACACACACTTGAAATTCTTATGTTGACACACACTTGAAATTCTTATGTTGACACACACTTGAACTTCTTATGTTGACACACACTTGAAATTCTTATGGTGACTCACACTTGGAATTCTTATGTTGACACACCCTTGAAATTCTTATGGTGACTCACACTTGGAATTCTTATGTTGACACACACTTGAACTTCTTCACACACTTGAACTTCTAATGGTGACACACACTTGGAATTCTTATGTTGAAACACACTTGAACTTCTTATGTTGACACACGCAAGAACAATTCTAATAAGGTTGTGGGCTGAAAGAGTAAAAGTCGCTTCAAAAGTATTTTCGTTCCACTTCTTATGCAACAATGTTCACCAAGTGTATATTGCACATTAAGTTATTACGGGGAACTAACTGATGTTTGATAACCTTATACTATACAAAATTGCATTTTATTTTGTTTGTTTTTTCTCATTTCTAAATATAAGCCACAAAAACCTTTACCATATTCATAAGGATTGACTGCCCAAAGCGACTGTACGATTCCAACTATATTGTGAGCAAGTGCCATATCAGATCGGCCCAGACTCAAGGAGAGGTTATCTGAACGACCACTGCATCGAGTTTATGTGCAGTGTGTTGATAAGTTAAGCAACCCTGCAGAGTACTTCACTTGGATGAAGTCGGCTGGCCTGAAAAGTGAAACAGAAGGCTTTCTGTTTCCTGCTCAGGAGCAGTCACTTCCCACTCGAAACCGTCAAGGTGTGATTGTGCATCAAAATGTAAAAATGAAATGTAGATTATGCAACGAATTTAATGAGACCGTCCGACACATTGTCAGTGGATGCCCCGCTTTGGCACAAACACAGTATCTGAAGCGACATAATGGTGGAGCTCGATCGTTTTATTACCGTCTTCGCTATGCTTGTGGTTTTGACACAGAGGTCCATTCTCTTGTTGTACAAGTAACCTTCAAAAAGAACCAGTTGTGTGCCTCGCTGCGATGTTACATACTCTACCAACTTCCAACCCGACATGGTTATGAACCAAGCCTCTTTATACACAGGTACCTGTAGAGTAGAGACCCGACTCTTGTAAAATAATTTAAATTCATTAACAATTAATTTTCCAAAGAATATCTCATTGTTTCATATGAAATGTTCTAAGACATCAACCATACATTCAATACAGATTAGTTGCCCTTTAGTCATGTCATAACATTTCACTTGGTCTCTGTGGTAATTCTATGTACTCCAGCCTTAATTAATCCCCCCCCCCCCCCCCCCCCCCCCCCACTGGCCTCCTCCCAGGTTGTGTATCAACTGGGAATATGGAGGTGTGTGACAAATGGGACGTGTAACTAATGGGAGATGACCACTTCACGATATAATAGTGAGTTATGATCTACGTAATCTCATTAAAACAGCCCACACGTATTACACAATCTCGGCTACTCTGATTGACTCTATTGTTATAAGCCAGGGCGGCGAAACTATAGAACCCGGCGTTTTAGACTTTAGCGTGGATAACAGTGACCACTGGGTTTTTTGTCACTCTTTCCAATTGTATCAATTTAACAGAGTCTTATGTAAGATATGTTTTACTTTACAAGCTAGGAGATAATTATCCACGCCTAAATCAGCTTAGTGTTTCCACAGATTGTGAAAAAAACGTTTGACTCCTGCAATTCGGTCAGCGAAGCCTGTGACGACTTAACATTAGCACTGAGTCAATATGTAAAAAAGAGTGCGTACCTTCCAAACGAGTAATAATAAGGCCAAGGGATAAACCCTGGTTTAACAGCGAAATTCGACGAGCAATCCGTATTAGAGAAACACTCAGAAATAAGCCAAAATTATCCTGTAAACCAAATGACTTTCTAAGGTACAAAAAACCCAAAGAAATACTGTTAATAATCTTCGAAAACAAGCAAGAGAGCTCTTCCATTGTAAATTAGATGGGTTTTTATCAACTATTGGAAATTACTTAGATTTATTCTGAAGGATTCTGGTACTACAACAACTGTACCCCATTGGTCACTGATGTTTCAAAAGTCTGAAGCATTAAATATATATTTCAATTCAGTCTCAAAACTCAAATAGCCAAATCAAAAAGGTTCTAAAAAAACCCCTAACCAAACCAAAAATTCTACATCCGTCCAAAAAAATCGACAGAGTAATCACTAAACTCCAAACATGACATACCAACCTTAATAACCACCTCAAAATATAAAAAAAACGCAACAGGAACCTGCCCACATTGCGAACAACAAGAAACCCCAGAACACGCACTCATACACTGCACCCACTACCTAACACACCTAACTACACTACAAACCACCCTAAATCTAAATAAGGCTCTTACTCTAGAAGCAATCTTAAACCCACAAAATAAAATAGAAAAATTCAAAGCCTTAGGCGTATGTTTAATCAAAACAGGACTAATAAATCGCATTTAAAACCCCAATAAACTACCAAAACCAAACTAACTAACCAAACCAAACTAACAAACTTCCATACTCAGGTCCCTTAGTTCGCCCCCCCAAACCCTCTTGGCATTTTTTCCAAATCTCAAAATTTCCAAAATTCTATATAAGCAACCACTAAAACACCCCTACTGGATTGCCAAACAACTTTTTCCCCTTTTCGGAAACACATTAAATGGCCTGGCCGGGCCCGTGTACGAAATACGCTGCAGTCGGAAAGCGCACGTAAAATCTCCAATATAAGTAAGTAAGTAAGTAAGCAAATATCGATAATTGCAACCCTGTGTTACCTGATATTTATAACAAATGCGATGCTGAACTACAAGATTTTCATGTTGAACATAACGAAATAATCGATTTGATAAAGTCACTTCCAGTAAACAAGGCACGTGGTCCAGATAACATTAATCAACGCTTATTGAAACACATTGACAATTCAATAGCCACGCCATTGTTTTTATTGTTCAATTTGTCTTTGCTTGAGAACGAATTTCCACACAGTGGAAATTGGCAAATGTAATTCCTATATATAATAAAGGGGATCAATCTTCACCTTCCAACTATAGACCTGTATCACTACTATCATATATAAGTAAGATTTTTGAGCGAATCGTACACAAGAGATGGTTTAAACATATTGTTATTTCAAAAGAAATCTGGATCGGTTTGTAGAACTGCTAACTACACTACTGCCATGTGATATCGTTTTTAAATCATACCCATGTGTGTAGAAATACATAGTGTTTCTGATATTATCGTATTTTTGACAGGTATAGAAAAAGTGAATTGCGTCTTCAAAGTGATACCCACAAGGGCAGTCTCATATGTCTGATACATGTCGTCTAAACTTATCAGCATTTAGGTCACTGCAGCCGAGCCTAAGGCGACAGTGGACAATTTGACATGATCTATGACCGTATTTTAAGTCAAAATTATTAATAATTGTATCAGAACGATTAATTAAGGATTTGAATTCTTTTAATGAGCAAGAATTAGTAACTTCATTGGGTAGGGTGTTCGTAGGTTAATCGTATCCGGAAGAAATGATTTAGGTCTGGGTTCTACATTTGATTGTTTGTATGTTAGATCTATTTCTAAGGTTATAATTGCTATTATCAGAGACTGGACTTGGAATGAGATCGTTGAGATGTACAGGTGAAATACTGTTTTTCATTTTGTAAAATGTAATCAATTTGAAGCGGTGTCGTTCTTTTAAGGACTGAAAGTTTGTTTCGTTATAAACATGACTGGTACCCCGAACCGCCCCACAAATAGTTCTCAATGCGTCCAAATGTAAATTCTCGAGTTTCTTACTCTTGCTTGATCAGTGAAAAATTCATTTAGGACATTGGAAATATCTTCAATATCATCATATAAAACATTATTTGATACTTTTGACGGAAACGACGAATTTTCGGTGCGCGTTTTGACATATTTTTCAACTAGTCGCCACCAGATCTTAGTCCCATATGAAGTATTTATGATGTTATCTATTTTTAATTCATGAGCTCTTTTGGCTATTCTGACTGATGATATTACTTTATTCCTGCAAAGCCTAAATTTTACCAAATCTGACGGTCGATTTCTGTTTTTAGCAATTTTGTGAATACGATTACGTTTCCTAATAAGAACGCGTATCTCTGTATTTATCCATAGAGGATCCTTTGTTCGTATTGTGACAGTTTTAGTTGGAATGTATTTATAAAATATGTCTTTAAGTCTAGAAGTCAGATTTTCAGTGATAATGTTAATATTATCAGATGAGAATAGGCTTTCCAGGTCAATCTCATTAATACCTTGATTTATACCATCTGCATCTGCCAAGGGATAGTTATATATTATTCTCTTAAACGCGTAGTTTCTGGGTATATCTTTTATATGAACAAAGATAGGGCAGTGATCGCTACAGATTGGATCAAGTACACCAGAAGACCTCACATTGTTTACACAGGATACGAATATTAAATCGATAAAAGTTTTAGAATTAGAGGTTATTCTTGTAGGATCTGTAATTATAGTTTGTAAATGTTCAATCTTTTTAGTGGTTTCGCATAGAATATCTAGATTGAAGTCGCCAGTAACAATAGTA